GATGAAACTGTGTAAAGTGATAGTGTTTAGCTCCCAGACTGAGAGTGAAATGTGTGTCGACGAACTGTCACAATCGTTTAGCATAGATGAATCTGATAAAAATCGGGGCAAACGAGCAAGGAAAAAGAAACTGCATAGTGAATCAGATGATGATTTTCTTAAGATAATACATGAACGCAAAGTGAAAAAATCTTGTCAAAAAATTAAATCTCAAGTTTTACAAAATGTTCCTGATAAAGATGTTGTTAATTATGTTTCTAAAAGTCAACCAGTTAAGAAATAACATTCATTTTTTTTTTCATTCTATTATTTTCTATACTCAACATGGTAAAGATTGCTTCTATCAATGTTAATGGTTTAAGGAGTGTTCCTAAATTTGAAAAACTTGTGTCATATTTGCATAATCAAAATTTAGATTTTATATGTGTACACGTCAGCAATTTGTTAATGGTGTTTTAAAACAATCTCGTTTAGATTATATTTTTGTTTCATCTTCAATTTTATCATATTCTCAGTATTGTTTTGTTTCACACAATAGTTTTAGTGACCATAGTTTTGTAACTTTGATATTAAATTTTGATAATTTTGAAAAAGGTCCTGGTGTTTGGGTTTTTAATAATATGTATTTAAAGGATACTGAGTATTGTTTTAAAATTAGAAATTTGATTAATTCTTTGACTACATGCTCATTATTTCTTAGTGAACCTCTGGTTTGGTGGGACAATCTTAAGTATAAGATTAAACTTTTAAGTGTTTCTTATGCTCAGCAGCAGCGTAAGAAAATAAAGGATGATTTTTGGCAACTTCAAACTGCATTGAATTTTCATTATTTAAGAGCAAGTAAGGATATAAATTATAATTATGAACATATTCTTGATCTTAAAGATAAATTACAAGTTTATGAAAACAGTAAATGTGAAGGTGCCATACTTAGATCTAAAGCCCTTGATGCTTTAGAATCAGATAAATGTTCTCATTATTTTTTAAGTTTAGAAAAGAGAAAACAAGAAACTAATGTAATTAGATCTTTGAAATCTCCTTCAGGAGAAATTTGTACATCTACTGTAGATATTCTTCAAGAGTCAGTTCGTTTTTATTCTGATTTATATAAATGTGATCCTGTCAATGAATGTAACCAAAAAACTTTATTTAGTCTCATTTCTAATAAGTCAAATGAAACCGAAAGTGTTTATTGTGATTCTGATATTTC